AAGACTTTGGCAGAAACAATGTTCTAAAATTGGCTTAAGATGTTGGAATGGTAGAAACATTAGGAAAGTACGGGGAAGCAGCAAATATTACCGCTCTGGAAACAATAGCATTAGATTTGAGGCGAAGCAAAATGTAGTATATCTCGGTAATTTTCTCAATCGCTTTGCTTCTGGCATTACGTGGACCTCGCCTCTTGAGGACATCCCTCAATGCCCGTACTGCAGCTTCCAAATAATGAACACGTTTTTCCTGGAGAATAAAAGTATAGATTCGGACAGAATTGGAAGTTTGATGATTTTCTTCACCTTCCAAACCTGATCGCTCTCCTCTTTGAGATCCTGAGCAAATGTATACAATGCAATGCCAAAATCAACAAGGCTATTCGAATAAACACTGCTACCGTTCTGAGTCTCAAAATCTGGACGAACAATCTCGAATATTTTTCTGAATGAAGCGCATACCTGTAAAGTAATAAGATTACGATAAAATATAAGCATATGGATAAAGCATTACACTTACATCATCAACTAAGGCACGAACTGAAGCACTTGTTACTGGTTCCTTGAAGAACTTAACTTTGATGCTATACTCAAGTCTTGCTGTTGCTGCACTGTTCGCATAAAGTACTACTTCAGAATCCCGCAAGTCCTTTCTGTTGTACGCACTCAGCATTTCAAGAGCCTGTAAATCTTTCTGTTTCAAAATCCAAGTCTTTATGAATGGCGTTCCACAAAAGCTAAAGAAAAATGTTAGCTACCAATTTACAAGTCTTCAGATTAGCCTTAAATACACTTTCAACAAAGTGGTGATCGCATCTAGTGAACACATCAAGAACTTAATAGATGTATGATGTTCAAAAGCCACCTTTGTATAAATATGCTTGGCAATTTCTACATATTCCATGGCTTTGGCAGCATTTGCGCGCTTGTCTCCTTCTGGAAGATGATCATAAACTCAGATCATTCAATTACGATGAAGAAGCTCAAATCTATTTGAAACCTTTGCTGCATTCAGCTTGCCCCAGATTGGTAAACTTCCCACCAGTCATCATTAACGCCATGGCTGCTCGTGACACATTTCTATCCAGAGGACTCAGTCCTGTAGCGACTGGAGTAAACGCAACCTGGGAGGAAGCAGCCGGGTACTCCTTGATGAAATGATGACATCTACAAAGTACTTTTGGTAGAGGATAACTCAAATGCACATTAACTTCTTGTCACTGTCCGAAAAAGCTAAACTGATTTTATAACCTTTTACCTAAAGACAGCTGCCTCAATCTGCACCAGCCAATCACTCCTTGTCTTTTTCCCAGATTCGTTTTCGAACCAAAGTGAAGAAAAATTCAAGACGCCTAGAATGATGAATGAGAAACCTTACTAGATGTTACACGGAATGTTAGGACGGTGTGCCCGATTTGAAAGAGATGTACAATAATGAAGAAGGTTTGTAACGGTGTTCTACATCCAAAATCTGTATGTACTAGATGTCACGAAGTAAAGTGATTAAGACAAGTTTTAAGCCGAATTTCAACGTGGTTTAGCATAAGCAATTTAAGAATGAATCCGAGTTGATGAATAATGCAGTGGAAGTCTTGTTAATTATAAACGGTATTCGATCCCTCGCGGTAGCACCTTTTTTACGTTTTATCCCAATGTCGCATAAGACACGTAAATCTTGGACATACGGCACTCTGAGCATTAACTGATAAATCGCCCATTTCGGGAGTTTAAAACTTCAAAAACAACGCATATTCGGAGCCTCATAACTCCAAATTTTTAGATTTCGCTGAAACTTCGCCATACATTTTGGTCATGAGATTCAACGCGTTTCTTGTAAGCCTTTTTTGAATTCGGAGCAGAAATGCACTTAAACATGCTTTCAAACGGACGATTACACTCTCTCTACATGTTCTTGCTGCTCAGCCAGGCATAGTTAGAAAGCCAAACCTGATTTATGTGAACAGTATGTCAAATAACCGTGGCAGCAAGTCAAAAGTGTGAAAATGACA